TGGCTGTGTGGGGCTTGGCTGTTGCCTGGGGTTAAACCATGACAAAGATGAAAGTGGTGATAAGCAGGATGAGATAGTCAAGCATTTTGAGAAAGAAAAGAGCAAATAGAAAAATATACTGTAACAACGAGGAGGCTGGAGCAGAAGCAAGTAGCAAGTAGCAAGACACAAGAGATCTGAACCAGTGTTTCTAGAATATCCCAGGAGAAACCATGCCAGCAGTCTCTAAACTAGTCTCTCTGCACATTAATAATAAAGTGATTATTCTGCACATCTGCATATGCCAAATCTTACCATAAAGTGGTGTTAACTTGCAAAAGTTGTCAAAGCAAAAAGAGAAGCCAGCTTAGAATTCACTCACTGATAAGGTTTAGAACAACTAGAATAAGTAATAAACAACTAGAATAAGTAATCTGCCATAAAAGGGGAAAAAAAAGATAATTTGTAAAGCCCCTACTGAAACAACTCAAGGGTCCTGGGGAAGGAAAGAAAGGCAAGAATAAACACAAAACCCTCTAATCATTCTGGTGGAGGAAGCCAAGCATCTAAAGGAGGAAAAACTGACTTAGATTACTGAGAAGACAGCAGGAGGAAGTGAGCCTTTTGCTCGGTAGAAAAAGGTTATTAGAAATCAAGGTTAAGGCCAATTAGATAGCACAAAAGAGGATAAATGTCAGGTGGAGGGAAGTGATGAAAAGGCTGGTAGTAAGCAGCATGTTTGATAATTCCAAGGAGCAACAACATGAGGAAAAGAGAGTGAAGAATAGCAGGTGAATCCCATAGCTAAGGGGAAAGGGAATCTGTAAGAATAAATCAAGGATTTTTTGCAGTACTTACTCTGCACAGGGGACTACACTACACAGTTTCGTTTATACAGCTTATACAGTTTGTGCCTTACCTAATTTTGAGAAGGACTTTATGAACATGAATGTATTTTCCATCCACTAGAAACTTCAAGTCTGCAGTTTCAGGGTTGTCAAATTCCTTCTTTAGTGACTGGGCTACCGTTAGATGGTCATCAGGCTCTAGAACAAAAAGGGGACTTCATAGCAAACAGTGAGCAACACAAGTATCTCTTATTATAACATCCTGGGTATCTGCCAGCAATTAACACTCTCAATGAATACAACATCTCTTTAAGGCTAGTAAAAAACCCAGTAGACTATGTGTTCAATATGAGCCCCTGAAGAGCCAAGAAAGGACAGCTTTCTTCAATCTTTACTAGCCTCCTACTCCAAGCAAACATCTCTATTAAAAAAACCCTAAGTTCCATTCCTTTAACTCACCTATTAAAAGCAAAAAAACCAGATTAACATAGTCTCAGAAGTTTACTGCTGCATCTGACAGAAAACGCTATCAGCCATTACTGAGTAAATTGTTCCAAATTACAAGTGTTAGTTATTATAAGATATCCAAATGGTCAGTAAAAAAAAAATCACAATAAAATTTTCTAGAATGCTCCCACAAGGAGACATTATTTTAAAGGAAAAATAAATCTATTACATAAACAACATAATGATTGCAGTGAAACTGCCCAGTAGAATATCCCCAAAAGTAAATATCAACAGTTGCAGGCCTATTCAAAAAGTGTTTTCCCTAGACCTAAAGGTGTTAGAAGCACTCTGTGTCAACGTCTGCATGCTCCTGCTTGTGCTATATGTATGTATATCCCACTGTGCACGTGACATTTGCATCATAAAGTTACTAAACAGATTTGAAAAGTCATCCTCATCATTGTCTGCATATGAATTTTTACGTCCTGAACTGATCAAAATCTCCAACATATTTGGTAGCCTCCGAGAACTACCTTTTTCAATACTACAAAAAAATCAACAACCCACATCCTCAGCCTCATTCTTAACCCTGAAAACATTTTGTCTTCTTACCATATAAACACACATTATGGGTTTATACAGATTTTGTGGGACAGCAATTAGTTGTTCTCCACAGAAAATTACATAAATGCTAGGTCTTGTAACCTACCAAGCTAGAAATAAGAATAGCATTCTGCTGGAAATGGAAAGACCTTCTCCACAAACTCTAGAAAAAAACCTCAAGACATATACACACACACACTTTGATACTATTACACTTTGTTAAGCACAATAACTTTTAATTCATTTTGAGGGTGTCATTTATGTTCAGGTATACCCAATTAGGGCAATATTATCCTAGTGTGGTGGGTTACAAGTAAAATGATAGGAGCAGGCAGGGGGGAGAAATCCAGTGGAACAATCCAATGGATAATAAATCATTCTGAACCAATGATGCTGTAAAATGCTTTGTTAGTCCTTATTTGGAACAATGTGTTCAAAAATTTGAACCTTATTTATTCACTGTTTTGCTATCCAAACAAGTAATCATTTTAACAACTAACGCAAAGCTGAAGCTCTTCTTCAAAGTTAGCTGGCAACCCACATGTGCACCAATACACATCCCCAAATGACTCCTACAGCCAGCAGGGGAAAACTGATTGCAGTAGGGTACAGTTATTAAATTCTTAAGAGGAAAAATAGATACTTTTATTTGTTACAGCAGCGAAGGGGGAACTAGAAGAAGGAAATGAAGAGGCAGTTCACACTAACGAGGCACAAAGCCAAGAAAACTCAGTCAGTGCTAAGAATTGTATTAGAAATTCCCACAAACAGGGAATGAATGGGAATGGCTGGGTGTGGAAGCACCATGAAACAACCAGAGAAGAGCTATAAGCCTGGCAGATGTCCATGGCCCCTAGCTCAGCAAACGTTAAGACCCTAGGGTGCAGCTGCCTGATGATTCTCGCCACGCGTAGATCAGATTACAAACAGCAGTGAGTCAGACCTGAGGACTTGCCAAGGTGGGACAGGGACTAGTCCCTCTGAGCTCCAACAGCATGCAAAAAGGCAGACACGAAAACAGCAGCGTCACCTAACTACAAGGAATCCAGGAGACATGATAAAGGTCTGATAGCCAGCATCATTTATCCTGTGTCATCACAAGGAACCCTGCTCAGACCATCTGAATTTTGGTGTAAGGATGCTGGACAGACCACCTGGCACATATGAGAATGTGGCTTTGAAAGTGCATCTGAAACCAGCTTTGTTTGAAAGTAAAGTAACTTTTTCCTCCTGTAAGGTTTCACCTTATGCTTTGGTACAACATTGCTACAGTCTTGTAGCATTATTTCCAAAGGGACTCAGAAGTCAAGGTCAAATAATAGAAAGAAAAAATAAAAGGGGAGTTGCTACAGTCAAAAATTACTCCCAAGGTGCAATACAGCAACACAAAAGCAATTACAAAGGCAGCACAGAAGTGGGATGAAGCATGATGGACTCAGTACAGCTCAAATTACAAATTAACAAATTGCTGCATTCTAGCTGCACTATAGCTTTTAGCTGAAGTTCCCAGATGACACCCACAGACAACCTCAAGAGTCTCATCTTCGATTAGGTCAGCAAAGCCAGTAACTTTATTAGCAACCAATATGGGATTGAATTGTAGCTGAAGAATGAGCTCTCCATTAGACATGCAGTGTACTTAACTCTTTCTAGTCAAGGGCAGTAAGACAGACCTTAATCAAGTATCTGAGATCCAGCAACTTGTCTCTTCAGAAGCCCAGGTCACAATCACTCATGATGGGTCTGTCTGTGGCCAATTCTGAACAAAGCAATTTGGGTCCCTCAGGTCTTAGTAGTCTGTTTAAGGGCATCAAAGAAAGCTTCAGGGTTCCTAAATGTTCTGTATGGCTTCCTCAGGTCTCCAAATTCAAACTCATCTCCACCCACATCCATTGGACAGTAACACTCAGTGGTTACAAAAAAAAAAAACCATTCCCAAACCTAAGGCATTTCCCCATAGAAATAGAACACATAAAAAAACCAGACAATTATTTAGCACTGCCATGAGGCTTTAGCAATTTTTTACAATTCTGTATTACCATTTACACATATGCAATATATGATTATGACTATGTTTCCCAGTAGAAATTTTTGCAACAAACTAAGTTTAGACTTCACAAACATGCAACTGTTTGATGAACTAATGATTCTCTTTAGAAGATGTTGGAACAAAAAATGTTTAAGCTCACCTACTGACAGCAGACGCCACATGACAGCAGGGGTGGCAAAGCAAGCAAACACATCATCAGTGCAGGCAAAGTGAGTGAGGTGGGGATAGGTCACAGACTGCCCACGGCACTGGCCCCACATGTACACCTGGCCACTCTGGGTCTTGGCAGCCGACGTGTGAGCAGAGTGGCAGGCTGCAATCTCTATAACTCTGAATTTACAAGCAAACAAAGAAAAAAAAGCAAGTCACTCTCTTAAGAACAAAATGCAGCGAAGAAGCTCACTGCCTCCTGTCTCTCTCTGGTGCAAACCATATTTGTAAGCATGCATGCACTTTCAACTGCAAAAATGTTTTCTGATCACACACAGCAAAATCTAGAAGTGCTGTCAGTGTCTCCTCAAACAGCGTGCACTCAGGGAGTTTCTCTGTGGAAAAGCACTTTGGGAGTGAGCAGACACTGTTGCAGCAGAGCTGTACATCTGCTGTAGCACACACTCTGCTGAGCTCCTCAGCTCCCTCGAGCAAAGCTATGATGAGTTTCCAGTCTCTGAATGTCCTCGGGGGTGCTAGGCAGTGAGGTGAGTGGCTGCATTAAGCTGTAGAGAATGGATACTTGGAGAAGATGAAGAAGGAAATGAGGAGGTGTTTCAAAAAGAAAAAAAATTGCATTTTGGCTTATAATTGAATGTTAATAAAAGTCTTTTTTCTGGTTGTTTATTGGTCACAGTTATAAACCAACAATTTAAACATACTTCTCGTAATTAAAACAATGAAGTGTCATTATTCACACAATTATTGTTACTTATGTTTAACGGACTCTCATTTTGAAAATAAAAATTAGAACCAAACAGCACTAAAAGCTGTTTCTGAGTGTCTTTTAGGTATGTCAGCCTATCTGTCTAATCCTTCTATCTCTCTAATCCTAAAGTTGATTTAGGACTTCAAAACTCCCACTGTGTATGACATTACACAATCCACTGTTCTGCAGTCTGAACTACTGCTTGTTTACTTGTTTTCCCAGCTGCCTGGGGAATAGGGCTGGGAGACAACTTGTTTAAAGCTGTATGTACAAATCTTGCAGGCTTTAGTGAGGCAATATCCTCACTGACACCACGAACGCATATTCCAGCCAACAAAAGGGAAAGGCAGCACACAACAGTAAAATTTGCATTAAATTATCATAACATTTTAACTGCTGCTCAAGTGTCTGGTGAAAAAATCAGTTACATTTTAAGCAAAAACACAAACACACATAAAGACACAGCAATGCTGAAGATCAGGCCACGTCTCATCACCAGAGCAGAGATGTAGCTTCCTTACAATAACATACACAGACACAAGGTTAAGAGGGACATCTCACTTTCCTTATTATTCACAACAGGAGGCCAAAATCAAGACCTCAGCAGTAAAGAATAGATATAAATTTCTGGCCATGTACATCCATGGCTTTACAACAGCAATAGAAATAACTGCCGTGCTACCCATCTAAGGATTAAAGGAAAATATATAACTTGCAGAAATCTAAGCTTAATTTTTGGGCAACAGCAGCAAGAAAGAACTTCTCTCTTTTTCTCTCTCCTGGGTTATGAGCCAGATTTAAGACACAAATTGCAGATGTCCACTCTTCACTTTTTCTGTGTGTGCTTCCTCTCAAAAGTAGAATATTAAAATACAATTTATATTCAGAGACAATAAAGATTTTATCATTGATTTCAAACAATGAAACTACACGACTAAAGGGAAACTGCAATTAAGGCCTATAAAGTACAGTGTGAGCCGAAGCAGAAAATAGCTTATTCAAGCTCAGAATATCCATTTTCTCTTTCACAGGGATAGTTATGGGGCAGATTCAAGCATTTTCAGTGAAAATTCTGTTCACATCCAGCAGATGAACCATTATAAAAAATTATAGGTTCAAAAAATAGATAAAAAATACCATAGTTTTCTGTAGCTCTTCTAATGTCTGATTGCAAGACTGTAAGTATTACCTGTCCTTATCCACAATAACTGTTGTAGGGTAAGACTGGTTACTTTTATTCCCAGTACCTAACTGGCCATATGAATTGGCTCCCCAGGCATAAATCTGACCTTCATCTGTTAGCACTAACGTATGTGCATAGCCACAGGCAACCTATAAAGAATAATAAAAAGAAGAAAATCTCATTTTTATGTAACAGGAAGTTAACACAGATATACACATTATGCTATAGGATAATGCTATTGATTCTATACCAGTGTAAAAATTATGAGAACTGAAAATACAGGCAGGTTGATTAAAAAGGGAAGGAAAGTAGATGAGGTGACTTGGAGGAAAAAAATACATCAATGAGAAGCCCTGACAGATAATCTCAAAGAGTACAGCAAAAAACCAGCTGGAAATTGAGAAAGAAGGGAAGCTACATGACAAATATGAACAATATGCAGAAAAATGAAGATAGTCTGCCTTGCACTGACCTTTCTCTATTGGCAACTGCCCCAGTGTGAATATCTTAGCACTGTAAAAACAGGCAAGGTCTCCCTATCTGCTCCTCTCATCCCTGACTGCCAGCCACGTAAAACTGTCCCCTCCCTGTGCCAGCTCTAGTGCTCAGTGGACCCTCTGCTGACATAACACCCAACCCTGCCCGTGTTCAAGGCCAGGTTGGATGGGGCCCTGAGCAGCCTGATCTAGTGGAAGGTGTCCCTGCCCACTGCAGGGAGGTTGGAACTTAATGATCTTTAAGGTCCCTTCCAACCCAGGCCATTCTGTGATTCTATCAACTTGCATCACTGGAAGAAAACTCTCACAGAAGGGCCTGAGGACCACCAGTGCCCACACATGGTGAGGAACAGAAGCAATCAGCCAGGAAAGAGAGGGAAGAGACAAAATTCTCCATCTTGATGACAGCACACAACTGTGTCAGCTCATAACCTCTTACAGAACTCACCCGGTCCTGCTGAGCTGCCTCCTCAGGAACCTCACATAAGGTTGCTCAAATATCCACTTTACAGTCTATACATGCAGCACATGCCCCACACAGACAGATACACAGTGGCAACATTACCAGCAATAGTATTGCATAAGGTAGTATAGCTAGATGGCTATCAATAACAAATTTACACTGTTCCGAACTAGCTCACGTGTCTTTATATAATCTGCAAAGCTGATAGACTGTAAGGACATACAGTCCACTGACACCCATGAGGCATGTGAGGGGCTTTAAATGAAATAAATCCTTAAGTTATTTACTGACTGGAGATCTGCAACATGGTATTAACTGATACCAAGCAAACAAGTGGGACAGAAACAGGATCTAAGCCAAACTTACTGGAGCACTCAGACTCTAAATAGGAGAATAAATACAGAGGAACATAATACTCACTTCATTACGTTACTCTCCAACAGCAATTGTTACCAGCAAAGCTACTGTCTACATCCTAGGAACTGAATGTAAAACTATGTAATTAAATGAGTTGATTTTAAAAGACTCAAAAAATCCATAGCTTCCCTGAGTAAATGCCATAAATAGGATGCAAAGTTCAAAACACTGTTGTAAATTTTCACTAGGTTACAAAACCAATGTTTTCTAACAGATTGTATTGTTTTCCTGACAGTATCCTCTATTTGGGATAAATCAATTAAAGACTTTCAGTATCAGTCCTGCAGTTACTTTAAATATTTCTTACTGTCAGAGGAAGTTACCAGTTTGCTAGTTACACAGACAGCAGCTCAGAGATTTAGTAAAGTGTAATAAACTCCAAAGACCTAGACTAACCAGGGAATCATACCAACTGTTGACCAAAAGCAGTTGGAGACAATTTGTTTAGACTTCAAACACCAGTGAGTCACTGTGGCTGGAGTGCAGTTCTGAAAGTGAAATTCAGTCTGCTACAAAGACAAACACTAAACCACTGCATTTCCTCACAAAAAATACAAGGGTTAATGAAGAAAGTGGTAGCCTAGCAAGACTCTCTTATTTACTAAAATAACTGGAATTTATTTTTATTAACTTTCACAAGAAAAGACAAACATGACCAAACATTTCCAATGGCATAGTCCTCTTCAAGTAAAATCCTGACCTCACTGAAGTCAATGGCAAAATTCCTGCTCAACTCGACAGGGTCACAGTTTCTCCCCTACTGAGAGAGGGCCATTTTAGGATATGTGATTTTATTCTGACAAATGGCACTTTAAACAAAGAGATGAAGGACTATCTCCTTAAATGCAGCCTATGCCATAGCACATTTCTGGTGGCTGACAAAGGGGTTTGACAGGGAGCACCACACACCTACCCGCTGTACACGAATGCCTTGCAGAGCTGCGATGCGGCATGGCGTTGGCTGGTTGCCACTGCTGCCCAGGCCAAGCTGGCCATTCCCATTGTAACCCCAGACATAGACCTTAAAACAGAGACAGGGATTTTAACTGTTTGCCACTCTCTACTTCTTTTGAAAGCAATGTAACTACTTCGGTTTGAATAATAATAATAATATTAATGCTCTGCAATATTTCTCTCCGCACACCTTAGGATCTGTGCTTTGTATGTAGATACACACACACACCTACCTACCTATATAAATGTACATATGCACATACAGAGATACCTATACACACATCCATGCTTTTCTGCACTGCAAATTTTGGATGCTGTTTCTGTTTAAAATTCCAACTGCATGCTCATCCAGAATTCTAAACTTCCACATGCATGTTGCTCTTTCAGAGTCAGATTATGCAATAAGACAATACGAAGAATAGAAAATAAGTGATTCATGTGGCTGCTTGCCAGCACAGAGCAAGTTCAGCATAATACTTCCCTTTTTCAAAGAGCTAATTTCTTATTCCAAAATCCTCTAACAGGAAAAAAACCTCACAATAAAACAAGTAGAGACTGGAAGCCATGCACAACAGTTTGAGTAGGCTGTTAACAGCTTTATGCCAAACATAAGAAAAAGGGAAAATATTGAGCTCTGATAATTTCAGTAACATATGTTTTACTGCAAACAGTCAATAGCTACTTAGTCCTAAAGTGAAATGCTTGGAGCAATGGAGCTAGAAAGAATGCAGACTGCCCAATATCTTCAGCTAATATGAACTATTAAAAGAACTCTACAACCTCTTATGAACTAAAAAAAATAACTGTACAACCTCTTTGTATCTTTGCAATGAGGATAAAAAAGTATGAGAGAGATTCAAGGGATACTATAGTACAACAAATATATGCAATGTACTTTTATTTTCTCTGTTTCCTCTTGAGATAAGGTGTGTATACAAGCACTCAAAATTAAAATATAATTCACTGATTATTCTCACATGCAATACAATACTTAAGGTTCTAGTACACACAAGAATTTATTTTTCTATGAATGTTAAAGTGGGATAATGTGTTAGTCAGCACTGTCATTTTTACCACAATATAATATAAGCTCTAAAAAAATAACCAACCAGTAAATCTGTGATACAAACTTAGTGATTTTTACATATGAAAAAATGCAGCTAGCATGAAATGCTAAGTATACACACATATTCAATATGATTTGATCCCAAATTTAATTAAAATCTCCTGACCTTCACAGTGCTATTTTTACTTTAGAAATGTATTTTCAACTAAACTTGAAATCTAATACTTGAATTCTTTAAGCTCAAAGCCAATTTCAATAGTTCATACACAGTAACAGTTGCTAAATTTTATGATTAATCTCAGAAACTGAAAAGCCTTAAACCAATGACAGTGACCAATTTTACCTGTTTCACTCTACCTCCTCTCTTCAGAAATCACAATCAGCATGGACAGGAAAGTGTCTAAGTATGTCAAATGTGCAGGACAATTTATAACAAAGGTTTGCATGAGCAGTATAAGCAGGCAGACTTGAGGGAGCCTGGAAAGGTATACTTCTTTTCTGCTCACCACTACCAGGTTTGAAATCATCTACATCCCAAGTTATTATATAAATTAAAATTCAGTCCAAAAATTAACTTAAAATTTCTTACCTCTCCATTTTCCACTACAGCCATAGAGCACATCTGTCCACAAGCTATATTAACTACTATTTTATTCTGTAGGCAGCTGGTAACTCTCCGGGGAATCGGTTGATTAGCTGTTGAACCAGATCCAACTTGGCCTGAGTTATTATAACCCCATGTGTATACCTATTGCAAGAGAATTGTCATAAAAGATGGCTGTATAACATACAGTTCAACGTACATATTCAAGGGAGAAAAAAGCTATATGCATAAAAAATGACATTTTGAGTTCGAGTGGATGTATTCTTTTACAGATCTAAGAAGATATAAAGGTTTACAATTTCATTGTTTCTAACAAAAATATACCACTCATAATATTTACATACTCCATTCTTTTATGTTCCTCCACTCAAAGGTAAGGGACAACAAACATTTGTGTTGCATCAGCACTGTGAGGATAGCAAGAAGAAAGGTCTACACGCTCCAGCTGCAGAATGTTTCCCTATTTCTCTCACACACACACGAGTTCCATTAAAAGAAAATAGATATTTATTCCCACTATTCTCACCTCTCCATCAGATGTTAACACCATAGAATGATGAGAGCCACAGGCAACTTCAATGACTTTCTTGTTCACCAAGTTAGTAGAGACTTGACAGGGAACAAACCCATGATTTGTTGTACCATTGCCCAACTGACTATAAGCATTATGACCCCATGTATACACTTCTCCTTCTACAATAAAAATGCAAAAAGCTGGTTTAAAAATCTCATTTTTCCAATGAGTACACAACATAAAATTACAAACTAAAAAGTCAAATTCAGTAACAATATACATATTTAAGTGTATAAATATATATATGCCCTTTGGGGCTCTTCAGCCCACAGATGTACCAATGCTACTTTGACATAGTGCTGACCACAAATCCAAGAGGATAGTATCATCATAATCTTAGTAAAGGAAAACTATTGCTACAAGAAAAGGGATGGTGCAATACAGAAGAGAAAAGGATGAAATGACAGTCAGAGTCCTCATTTCAATTTCTTTGTTACTGACAATCAATCAACATTTGTTGTCTATTCCCTGGCACTGTTTCCCACTTTGGAAAATTCCAATAAGCTTTCATTCCCTTACAATATCCATGAGGCTACTTGTAAGAAAAACCTTTTACTACTTATCAATAAACACTATATTATATACTTATTATTTAGACATACTAGCTCATGTCCTGTATTTTGAAAAACATGCTCATAAAACTAGGACTGCAAGAAACGTCTGTGTTAGACCAATGCTCTACCTAGTGCAAAAATTCTGCCTCCAACTAGCAATAGAAAAAAAAAAGCTGTTGTTTAAGGGAAACACAAGCCTTGTCACTTTTTGCAGTTTCCAAGCATTCAGAATCAGTAGAGTACAGATATTACCAGGTACTTCCAATTCACTTTAATGTACATATATTGGCCCATTATCCAAGAAGTTAACTCCTTTTCACACTTTCCTTCATCTGTTTTAAAACAAGTGCCTTCCAGTTACAGTAGTACAGGACTTGATGAGTAGCTGTTCTACATTCATCTTGTCTATTTTCTAAACCTAAATTACGCCACAATTGCAGGAGAGCTAAGTTTGATACACAACTCCATTAGCTTTCTAAAGAGATCACCAAACTCCTTATCCCTGAGAAAAGTTCAGAACTACAAATACTACACTGAACCAATATTTCTCTACAAAAACAAGTTAAATCTAATTACTTTAATCTTGTCCAAAGCAAACCACCTTTTCTTCATTTCACCAACATGTAAATACAAATTGCAGTAAACACGTGAAACACCCACACAGAAACATAAAAAATAAATTGGAAATTACAGTAATTAACATACAGATTGTGAAATATGTAATGGCTCTCTGAAAGGTAGGGCAAAAAAGGCTGTGCTGGATGAAAGTTACTCATGCAAACTGAGTTATGAGTAAAAATCAGCAAGTATCAGTTCTGAACTTGCTCTTTTGCAATACTTTATCATTTGGGTAAGGAGTAAGAGTGTGTCAGTGTGATCTGACAGCAACAAAGCTCAGAAGAATAGAGACATATATAAAAAAGCATGCAGCATGGTCTACCTTGAAGAGTGGATGAATAAAGGCAGATGAGGGGAATTGTGTTGTAAATGCATGACTATTCTTCATGTGCAATTACATTCCAACATTTTCTCCAATCCAGACTACTCAAAAACATTTCCTCTCATTAACAGAGAAAGAGAGAGAAATGTGAATACCATCAATCAGGCTCTAACAGCACCTCACTGGGAGCACAATATTAGTAATATCGAGAATAATGTACTTAATTATGAACAGAAGGACCACTACCATGATGAGGATAATAAAGTGTCAATGCAGACAACAAAAGGCTGGAAGGCAGTCTAATGGGTCTTTAAAGCACATCCAAAAGTAGGTGCCAGAGAGAAAAGATGAATTTTAGCTGAAGAACAACAATGGCACAAAAACATATGGGCACAATGTAGCCACTAACGCATTTCAAAAGTAACGGAAGTTCCAAACGTAACTGAAGAGTGAAAAAAACTTTTAAAAGTAGTAACAAGATTAAAGCAGAGCTTGAAAAACTTCAGCAAATAACAAGCTATGAACAAAGCTAGCTGACATGGCATATTCACCAATGAAAATATGTTGGACTTAATAGCCCTGACTGCCTATCCCAATTCTCTCCTATGTTACCAGCACAGACCTGTCACACCTCCTGGACTACCTAAAGCAGTCTATCTGCAAAAGCAATATTCAGGTCATACTTTACCTTCTGTAGCAAGAACAACGTGAGGGCCACTTCCATAACTCAGACAGGCTATCTTTTTGCCACATAGAGAATCTAACCTCCTTGGTTCAATAGTGCTCTGCATGTCTCCTGTCCCCAAACACCCACTGCAGTTCATGCCAAGCACAAAAACCTGTTGTAAAAGAATAACAGAATCATAATTTAGGTTGCAATAGAGGAGACCTCCTCCAAAGGTCAGTTACTCCTCCACCCTGCTCAACAAAGATCTAAATAGATCAGCTGACTCAAAGCCATGTCCAGTTAAGTCTTGAACATCTCTAAGGAAAACAGCCTCACAATCCCTCACAGATTTAACCCCTCTTATGGTAATTTTTGTCTCCTAATACTGAATCAGAATTTCTCATCTTCCAATTTGCATACACTGCCTCTCATCCCGTCGTTATGCACTTGTAAGAAATGTCTAACTCCGTCTTCTCTTTCTTCTGATTATGGTAGGCAGCCATTCATTTGAATTGAAAATGTGTTAGTAGCTAACAAAATTGTCAGACATTTTGCATGCAGTTTTCTCTAGGTACATTATCACAGGACTGGCTTTCAGAATAGCTTGATGCATAAATGATTAAACATGTCACGTTCCTACACACTCTTGGAAAATTACCTCATCATTTTCAGTTGCATACAACACTTCATTACCAGCACTGCCAAATACACAGGCTTGACGAATTAACTTGAGCTCTTCTTGGGAACAGAGAGAAAAAATTGGCCATTTCCCAACATCCAGCATCTTCAGGGCTGACAATAATGTTGCCTCCAAGACCTGGTATTATAAAAAATGCTATCACATATCTAGACAGAGAGAAGTATATACCTTCACAAAGTGAAAAATTAGATAAACACCACCAGCTCTTTTTTCAGTCACTAACCAGTATTTTAGTTCTAGAAAAATACTTGAAAGGAAGACATTAAAATAAACAAACAAAGGACATCACAATCCAGAAATAAAGGATCTAGATGCATGGGGAAAAGCACCATATGAGAAATTAAATAGTGAGGTCGTATTTTCACTATACTCATACAACATAACTGCTAGCTTATAGAATTCAATGTACAGGATCCTAATATAAGGTGGAAAGGATATATTCAGAACTTGGAATTTGTGTATTTTAACCTGGTGCTAAAATTACTGCAAGAAGAAGAAACCAGAAAAAAAGTCTGTCCAAGAATACACTTCTCTTTGAAAAATACACACAATTGTTTTCATGCATTAAAAATGGAAACTTAAGAAAACTTGAGAAGCTTTTTCCTTTCTCCTTCTGAAATTTACTTCTGTGTTTCAGCAATTACTGAATCTTCGTGAACTTCTTAAGAATATTTATATTTGATATAAGTAGACATATAACAAAAAAAGATAATTGAACATGTTCCAGCTTATGCAAGGGCAAATGATAAGTTTATAGTTAAGGAAAAGTATAACAGCTCTCCTTCAACATTAAAACTAGTCAAGCTAATATCTGAATCTCACACAACATTTCTACCACTTTAGCATAGCATAAGGCAGGAAAATGTTGTGGTATCAAAATTTAATAGCAAACTTTGAATGGCATGTGCATCAAATTTTCTTTACTGAAATTAAATCAGACTCTGAACATGAAAGGAAAGCAGCCTTACTTGCCAGATCAGAAGATAAGCAAGAATAGATTTTGCCTATCACAGACATTATGTATTTCACCACCTAACAGTGAGGACTGCATAATTAGTTTACATCTAGGAAGTAGTAGACTTACAAAATGATCTGTTACAGTACCTCTTACTGAAACAAAGATGTGAGTAATGCTAGTTTGGAATCTGAAGCACATTATGTCAGTTATAAGGGTATTGCTTCTTAAATCAGTATCACTTACTGTGAAAAAAATACACACAGAAATACAGAAAACATTTAAAACTGTGAAAATAAACCCTAAATTATTCCCGAATTAAATTCTTTAAACAAAAAGCACTTAATCACACATTTCTTTATAATACATTTCTGAGGAGGGGAAAGGAGGATTGGCCATCCTAACAAAAAAAAAAAAGCTGTGGTTTTGATCTCACCAGTTCGTTCCCCATATCCTCACAGAAAGTAACTGACCAATTTCAGCCAAATTTGCAAGTGAAAGGGAAGTGATATTCTGCTGACACAATCCGTTTGGCAGTAGACAGCTGGACAAACAGACATTATATTATGAAATAAGTCAGCGAGCAAGTAGGGCCAAGCTAGTCCCAGCAAATGTTGTCCTCCCATGACACACAGCAGGGTTGTAAGAGATGAAGGACCAGAATCCATATGGAATCAGTCTCATTCGTCTGCTGTTTGCAGAACAATTTGGTTTATGTCAAGAAGTTAGCATTAATTCTACTGAGAATTTTAGGCCTTCTTGAAATATGGCAATGAATACTGAAAGCATTGCAGACTAGTCTTCCAATTGCAGCAACAAAACTGCATCCCACTTTTGTTCAAGACTGAGGTTCAAAAGGACAGTCAGTTGTACAGATTCTTTTACTGGAATAATATACCGGTTTCTTTCCAAGGTGGGGTCTAAATTCCAAGTGCTCAGTGGGTCAGAACTCATTCATCTTAAACAGAAAAGTTTTTTCTGTAACCTCCTCTTACGAAGCTCTCATTCCTAACCTCATAATTAACAGGTTAAAAAAACCCCAAACTGTAGCATTTCTTAACACTAAAATAATACACTGAAAGTAAAAAACGCACCTACTTTTATAAAAAGCACCCAAGGAAGCACTTACGATACTGATATTTTTTTAAAAAAACAGAAAATATCCATAACCTAAATCCTGACTCTGGAATTATTATATACATTCAAATCAGTAAGTGATATTCTTGCAACTTACAAGATTTTCTCCCCTCACACACTTCTCCATTATACTCTTTTTGCAAAATCATGAAAAACAGCTTGAACTATCAGCCTGCCAACATTTATATCCGTAAGTGATCAGTTCCCTCATTACATTGCACAAAGTCATGAAAGGCACAGTTAGGCCTGAATCTGATATTTTATATGAATATATTGCCCTTCTAATTTCTTTTGCTAGTATCATTTTTCTACCTATAGCTTTCATTTTCTGTCTACCCTGAAAGCTACTAGCATGTACTAAGCGAATGCTAAATGGAACCAAGCTTTTTCCTTTTGAGCAGAGCAGCACAGAATTCACACAGATTCACACTCTGACCTTTGCACTGACTCCTTGAGAAGGAGGAGGTTCATCCTCCATAGGGATTTGTGCTTGTGTCCCCCTGCAGAGAGAGAGCTGTGGTTAAAATCACCATAGCATACTGCTGCAACACTACTTTATAAAACTATACAAGCTTAATATTAACCCAGAACTATTTGCTTCTTTGGGGTGAAACGCAAAGCTTTGCAGTTTTGCTTTTACCTTCAACTGTACAATGATCAGTTAGACAGACTCTGCTCTTCTGTATTCTTACCTAAAATATTAATTCTTGGACAAAACGGTTTTTTTAAACAAGTAGTAAAATTAATCAGACTGCAATTGGAAAGAAAGATGTTTCATGAACACAATACTCCAATGTCTTTTTATTGCAATAAAAGTAAATTGAGAACTTTGCTGACATAATTCTTCATGACATTTCTTTCAGCAAAGAAAAAGCACACTGGTCCAAGCATTCAGTTTCTGGCTGAAGCCTTCAAATGCTCTTATTCCAGTTCCATTCTGAAAACCAATGTTAGATAAACATTTGTATCTTTTCAGGTTTACCAAACATTGTTAAAATATTCATTCTGCTTCAGAAAATATTGCCAACCCTGTAAATTACCTGTATAATTTCTATGACATGCCTTATCCACAGAAACAGATTTCAGACCAAATGTTTATTCACAAATAAATACACAAAACTCTACCTCCTTAAATTATTTCCTAACATAAAGCCATGCAACTGTTTGCAGTAAAACCCCCCAAATGAGAGCCTCTTTCACTCAACAAGTAAGTCCAGCAGTTAAGCAATTTGTTATTTTCTTACCTTCTTCAACACACTTACTTGTTCAAACCACAAAGATGCAACCAGTTGACTTTGTGTTCATTATCTCAATTTAAACTAGAAACAACTCACCTAATCAAGGCCTCTGGCATGACCACAGCCTGAGCAGGACTATACTACTGAACTGCGGTGCTGAGACATTTAACCTCAGGTATGTGAGCAGTCCTACTGTGAAACTGATTATCAAGGCTATCCAATACTTTGCATCATCAGTTTCCAGCACTCCCTAGCAATGCTGATGTATGTTACTCACTTCTTGACCATCCTTAGCCTACACTCTGCCCACAGGGCTGGCATGTCCCTCAAGGGAGTAATTAACCTATGAATTTTCTAATTTAAATACACATAGAATTCCATATTTCCTTCCCCAAGCCAATTCATTAAAGATGCAATTGAAAATAAAATAGAAATTTCAATTGAAAACAAAAATGCCATCAAAAACAAAAGCACAGTTTGACTTAGAAGCCGTTTATTTGTTAGTAGAAAGATGTTAGGATCTAACCACCTAATAAAAGGTACACCAGTTCACTACTTTTCAGAGTCCCACAGAGATGCCTACAATTTTGCCCTGACTTTAAAGAGCAAAGATCACTTACATGTCCTCACAACTCCAAAGTTATGTTTTACTGTATCTATAACTAAGAGAAAATTACCCTGCAACTCCATTTTCTGTTTGCTGTGCAAACACAGACATCTTACTTCTGAGCACAGGAGTACATGGGATGGCTCAAATCATACCAGTTTATTCTTTTATTTGAATTCATGTATTCTAGTAAATGTACATACTGATTGCCACGTGTCTTCATCTGCAGAGGTGTTCTTTCTAAAATCCTGTAATTGATTTAAGAGTACATATTCACCCTAGGATCCCCAAAATAAAGACAAACTAGAAAAATATTATTATGCCTGTTTAAGGACCATTCTTACCTGTATACCTTTAAAATACTAGTGATGATTCATATTTGCCTACTCATAGGAATTGTCCCTCCAGAAAAATGACTGTTGTATATACAGCATGAAGCAAAGAAAACCCAGCATTTTCATAAAAAATAAGAGGACAAAAACTTGTATATTTGAGAAATTCAGGTACAGAAGAAAAACACATCCTATATTTCAGACAAGTTACTGGGTTTGTTTATCTACTAAATCTTATAATATGCATATAGTTGCTAAAAACCCCTTACTTTAAAATAGCTAGCCACTACATTAAAAATGCAATACTCACTTTAGAAGGTTAAAAGATAAGCAAAAATATCTGTTAAAACTTAACATAATTTTCACTAGCTGTGTTCTCAAAAAAATTCTGAAATGCAGTTCTAAAGGAGAAAACAGCATTGTTGAAAACATCCATTTCTTAGGGAAGTGCACAGCATTTTGCTACACAAATATTTAAACTTTAAGAAATCTCTTCTCTGGAATCCAAGTACAATGAGGAATCTGGACAGTATACTCTGGAAATTTGAGTTTTAGTCTTGGAATTTGAAAGTTCTGACCCTGGTTTTGGTCCAACCACGCTAGGCCATTGAGTAAGGCCCACATGTTACTGCAGTACAGATAAGACTGAGTAAAGGAACACAAATACTACGCCAAGCACTACTAGCAGTCTAACGCCATTTGAGCCTAAATATTTAAACAGGTTCAGTGACTCGTTTGAATGTAAACATTACTGTAAATTCTCTCTAGGAACTTGGCAAGCAAACAAAAATTTTCCGAACTCTACTAAGTATTTCCTCCCACTTGAGCATTTATGAATCTCATCTGCTGAAAGAAAGGTCTGCCTAGAGCTTCTTCCCCAAGGACTCTAACCACAGGCTTAGAAAAGATTAGGAGGAAAAAGTCACAGAGAAAAGGAATTGATGGCATTTTTAGGAAAGGAAGCTAATCTACTCTGATATTCTTGATTTCTCAGCAGTTTCCTACTGCAGCAGTCACGACATGATGCTAACTTGTCCAAGCAATTTTGCAGGAGAGATCAGACCAGTAATATTGTCAACATTTATTTCCATTGAACAGGTCACATTCCTTTCTAGGAAGATTATTTTCAAAATTATCTTCTTTCTTCATGTACAGTGAAATGTCACTACTCCACCCAGTGCTGACAACAAATTGTCAGAATTCACCTTGTCATTCATTCTTCCATTGACACAGCATTTTCCATAACCAAGAAACTGCAGACCTTGAAAAATGTAACAGGCTGCTTAAAAAACTACTAACTCCAACTAAAGCACAACCTTCTCTCCTTCCATTCTTGCTTCATGACACCAGACTGTGAATTCTTGGCTCCTGATGCAAGCTCCACTGGCTGCTACTAATTGCACAAGCAGATAATAAATAATTGCAATGGTGCAATCTTTCCTTGACACAAAGGCAGAATTTACCTAGGTATATATATATCAAACACACATATATAAATGCATAGGTAAAAAACCAATATGTACACGTACATACAAATACATCACAGGTATTATATACCTGGAGCTAAGAATTCTGATTGTTTAAACTTATCTAGTTATAGCTGTCTGCATACAAAGACACCTTATGTTATAGAAGAGATACAATAGTAAATATAATGTGTATGAAAGAAAAGTCAAGCCACTTCCTCTACCAGTAAATGACGGTGTAACTGTCCATTTAGCCATTTAACAGCCTTCTGATGCTGGAACTGATAAATGCTAAGTGCCAAGAGCATTGGATCAGACATAACACATCCCTGTGGGATGGGTCCGGTCGGCACATAGGGCCCTCAGTTCCCTTCAGAAGGGAGTCACCTAATACAATTAACCTTTTTTCCTTTGTAGCTGTGGTAGTAATGGGTCTAGAAGATGGGGTGCAAGCTGGAGATCCTCTAACTGTCCTCTGCTTGACCCTCTGGGTCCAGAGCCTCACACCTGTTTTTTAAGGGTAGCTGGGGAGGTGATGGGGGTCGGGAGGGGATTCTTTTACCTCTTCCATCTGGGACTTGTTTCCATTCTCCCCCATCTACTAGGTTTGCTCCCTCTGCCTGAGGGCAGGAGGGACAGGGCTGAACTTCTTTTGTGCTCAAAAGGGTGTGACTCTGCCAGTCTATTCCCCTTTCACTCTCCCTAATGCTTCTTAATCTCCTTTTTCTTCCTTGAGCTCTGCCACCATGCACAGCAAATCATTCACCTGCTCACACCGTAGCAGGTGTGACTCACTGTCCTCCGGGACTAACGCAGACCGAGGCTCTCTGTGCTCAGTGACCTGAGCAGCTGTGTCCTGCACGGAGGGTCCTGTCAGGCTTACAACACTCCTCCTGGGAGCAGCAACAACAGTTTTTGCTCGCGTAGATACCACTGCTGGGTCTAGCTGAGTTGCGGGGGAAAAAAAAAACAGAAAGCAAAAAGAACGAAAGCAAAGAAAGCAGGAGGTGGCCGTGCCCTGCCTGCCCACACTGCCGTGCCCGCTCTGCTCGCACGGGTTAAATCCCCCGCCACCCAGCACACCCCGCCCGGCCAGCCGGGACAGCCTCCCGCGGGCAGCACAGCTCACCTGCGGATGGACAATCATCTAATACTACATCTACCCACTGCAGTAGCCTCCTCCAAACTGCAACAGATGCATCATGATGCCAAGGTTATTTTACCTCACCTTTAGCATGTAGTGGTCTTACTTCTATTATTGGTTTTACTTACATGATTAAAGAAGTTTTAAAAAAACAATTGTCTTAACTCAGAATTACTTTTGCCAATTCTCACTTTGTAACTGCACTTTATCCCTTAAATTTTTATTTGCATAACTATACTTTTATAGTCTTTATTCCTAAAATCCTTTTTGAGGCGGGTAGAAGTTGTTTTCAATAGATGTTTTCTCATTTTTTGGATATAAATTCCAAAAAAATTTTACAGTTGCCATAAACCAGCTTCGTACCTTTTATGCTAATAGGGCCCTCAGGGCTCCTGTACAACCAACATCACTAATTAATCCTCTTGATTTTTTAAAGTTTGCCCTCCTAAAATTGAGAATTTCAAACCTGTCTCTGTTTAGTCCCCTGTTTTATTTCTACTTTTCAAATCTAATTTAAAATGTGATCCAAGATCAGAAGCTGACTAATAAACCAGCTCTTCACAGAATTTTTCACACTGCTTACTGAAAGCAAGTCTAAAGCAATTTGGTGCTTATTTGGTAAGCTTACAGCAGTTGTATGTAAGATCAGCTGGATCACCATAATGCCCAAATGATGCTGCTATCCGTATCCATTGGT